GTGTGAGGGGGCGAGTGTGTCTGTGTGCTGTGATGGGTGTGTGTGTGTGTGTGTGTGTGTGTCTGGTTGAGTGTGTGTTATGTGAGGTATGCTGTGTGTGTGATTGTGTGTATGTTAGGTAGTGTCTATGGCTGTTGTGTGTGTGACTGTGTGTGAGTGGTCTGTGTGGATGTGTTTTGTATGTGTATGGTTGTGACTTGTACGTATGTGTATTCTGTGTGTGGATATGTGTCTAACTGTGTGTGTATGTGAAGTGTGTTTGTGGCTATACATTGTGTGTGTGTGATCGTGTGTGCATTTGTGTAGTGCCTGTGTGACTGTGTTCTGTGTGTGTCTCTGTGTGTGAAGGTATGTAATGTGATTGTGGTGTAAGTGTTTGTGAGTGGGTGTTGTGTGTGTCCATGTGGGAATGAGTGTGTGTGAGTGTGACAGTGAATGTGTGACTGGGGGTGTGAGTCTGAGTGTCACTGTCATCTTTGTGCTGGTGGTGTGTGGTTGATGGATCAGGGCACTTCAGGGCTTCCATTAGTTCCAGAGGCCCCATCTGTAAAGGTCTGGAGTATTCTGTGAGTCTGTCTATCCTCCACCCCAACTCCAGGGTGCTTTTCCAGGACCCCAGCTCCTGGGACTCTAGGATTGTATGGCTGACAATGCTGGGGAGAATGGGAGAGCAGCCTGGTGGCATTGTCCTGGGTTGCCCCCACAGCAGCCCTGCCTCAGAGCAGCTGTCACCTAATTTCATAGGCGGGTAGCTGAGGTACCTGCAGGCTGTCATGTGCCAAGGTGGATTGCTGTGGAGCTGGGACTCAAACACAGGTCATGGCTTCCATCACCCACGCCTGGGAACGGTATGCTGAAGAGTCTAAGGTGATCATAGATAGCACTGTGGGCCTCTAAGGTTCTTTGTGACAATCAGACACTAACTCTGACACTCCTGATTCTCCTATTCCCTGAATGAATCTGCTGCTTGTTCTTCCAGCAGCGACATTACCTGGTGTGTGGTTTGTTAACGGAGGGATCAACAAGTTGCCTGCTATATGCATATACATATTCATGTGTACACATGTGCACAGAGTCTGGGTGGCCTGGCCAGGTCTCAGGTCTCTTCCACCAGGGCTCTGAGATATGGAGACTCAAGGACTCCAAGAGCGCTCAAGTGCTGGCTGGAAGATTCTGGAAAGTAGGGTTCCCACTGGCTTGGGAAGACTTGGGGGTCTTGTCTGGGTCAGCAACTGCATTTCTACTGCCTGATGACTGAGCTGGAAGGGGAGGCCTGGCTCCAGGACCTTACCCAGGCTCAGTGTTTGGGCTTGGACACAGGCAGACTTGAGTTGGGATTACTTCTGCCATCTCTGTCCCGTGCCAGCTGGGTGATCTTGGGCACTGCTAGTCTCTTGTAGATCCCTGTCTTCTCCATGAAGGAAGAAGTCCTGGGGTTGTGGTGAGAATTGACATAGCTGACCCAGAGTCCTTTGCTCATTGCCTGATGATGGTGGTGATAGTGGTGGTAGTGATGGTGATGGTGGTGAAGATGGTGGTAGTAGTGATGGTGGCGAGGATGATAACGATGGTGGTGATGATCTTGATGATGGTGAGATGGTGGTAAGAGTGGTGATGATGATGGTAGTGATGGTTATAGTGGTGGCGATAGTGATGATGGTGGTAATGGTGGTGATGACAGTAATGATGCTGGTGATGTCAGTGACCGTGAGGGTGGTGGTGATGGCAGAAGGAAGGCTGGGGTAGCAGACCCTGGGGATGTACAACTGGTCCCACTCATGCTCAGACACCCCCTTCATGAGTCCACGTCCTCCCATCCACATCACATTACCTCGCACAGGTACCCCCTGAAGCAGGTGAGAAGAGGTTGCACTTTGCAGAGAGAGAGAAACTGGGACTCCAAGAGGCTGGTGGAGTCAGGAATGGGGGAGGGTGTTCCAGACACAGGCCTCTCCTCCTGTACCTGCTTGTGGAGGCCAGGAGTTGCTGCCCCACCACCTGGCAGACCCATGGGGGAAGGAGTGTCAAAATTAGGCCCTGGAAGCACCAAGAGGGAGGAGTGAGGAGTCTTGGGATGTGGAGCAGCTCAGAGTCTGAGGCCTGATGGACCTGAGTTAGAGCTGAGTTAGAATGAGAGGGTACTGTGTCCTCTCATCTTGTTGACATTCTGTCTGCAGGCAGGGTGGATCCTGGTGTCCAATTGCCAGTCCCCCCAAGCACTTCCAGCCATGGACACACAGATAGTGGGGCACGGGAGCTGGGCCACACTCCTGGGCAGGAAGGAGAGGATTCTGGGCTGAATGTGGGGGTTTTGGGAGTGGAGAGTGAGTCGGGGTGGTGGCAATGCTTTCTAGGAGCCTATAATGAGGGGGAGATATAAAGATAGAGGAGAGTAGCATGGTGTGACAGGTTTAAGTAGGGGCAAGAGAGACAAAGAACAAGTTGATACAAGGGGAACAGAGCCAAGAGCAACTTGGTGGCGTCTGTCTGGGGCTCTGTGTGGTTGCAGGAAGGCTTTCAGCAGTGCTGGGTTGAGGCTGCCACTGGAGTAACAAAAGGCCAGGTGCCTCCATCCACCCAGGCCAGCCTGTCTCCCCAGTGTCCCCCTACTCTATCCCTGCTGTACCACAGAGGGTGATGAGAAACACAGCCTAGGCACACCCTCCCCTGCTTAAAACCCTCCCCTGCTTCTATTGTACTTGGGGTCCTCCTTTGGGGGTCCTCAGGGGGGCCTGCCAAACTCTCTGGTGTCATCCCCTCCCCTTTTCCATGCTCAGTCACCACAGCTTCATTTCTCTTCCTTAAATGCACTGAGCCTCCTGGCTTTTGCATATTCTGTTCCTTCTCCCTGGGTGAAGGCACTCAGGGTGGTGCCTTCTGGTTCTTGCTGTTTTTCCCTTAACTGTCTCTTCCTTTAGAGAAAGCATGTGGTTTCTTTCCACTCCCACCTTTCTCCCTTGTTTATTTACTTTCCAGCACTTTTTATTCATTTATTCAACAAATATTTATTGAGCACCTAGTGTGTTCCAGGTGCTGGGGAAATGGCAGGGGATGCAAAGGCCACAGTTTCTGGCACTTACAGCCTTCTTTGTAGACTGGGAAGACAGACACCAAATCATGGGGTCATTGTAGAGTACATTTGCCGTCGATGAGAGCTATGGAAAACCAGAGAGAAGTGAATTGATTGGTGTTGCTTACCCTTTTGCTGGGGTGTGGACTGAATGAAGGCTGATGCCAAGTTCACCAGCAAAGCCCCAGTGCCTGTATACAGTGGGCGCTCAGGACATATTTGCTGGGCAAATGAACAAGTCAGCAGGGCCCAAATCACAGGGCATGGGTGTTGGAGAGGCAGATGCTCCAGGGAAAGGGAACAGTGTGAGCTGAGGTGTGGAGGAGACAGTGGCGGCCCTAGGGGTAGAGGAGGGCCAGTGTGGCCAGAGTCAGTGACCAATTCAGGGAGTGGTGGGCTCCGAGGATGGCACAGTGGTTGGAAGACCTGGAACCACCCAGGGAGGACATTTTTCTCCTGGGTGGCTGACACCCAGGAGAAGGTGCCTGGAGCTTATGTGAGACCCATAGCTGTGTTTGTGGAACCAAGAGCAAAGCCCCGAGCTCAGGAGAAAACTCTGACCAGCCAGGTGGAGTGGCACGAAGCGCCAACTCCTGCCTGTTGCCCCGGGGGGCAGAGAAATGTCCAGAAGCATCCGCTTGAGGTGGCTTAGCCCATAGTCCCACTGTTACCAGCAGCAGATTAGGTGGGAGCAGGGATGCGGGCCTTGCTGCCCACCCCTACTGCCCAGCTTGGCACTGGGGGAGCTCTAAGCCCAGGGAACCCCAGTGGACAAATCTCTAGGGGTAGGTGGCCCCAGGGATGGCTGTTCTTCCTGGCCTGTCTCTGGCCAGCCAACCTGGCCAGGCCAGGCCACAACAGATGTCAATTGTCAGTAAGTGGTCTTGGAGGCGACTGGGTCTGGGTGTCCTGGCTCTCATTGCCTCCTGGTTCTACACATGGCTCCGTGTGTGGCATTGGCAAGCCTCCCCTGTCTGCCAAATGGTGTAAGAGTCCTGATTAGGTGACAGAGAGCCCCCCTAGTTAGCACCAGAGCTGGCTGTGTTGGTTTGCAGAGTAAGAACAAGATGCAAGCCTGGGACCTTGGTAAAACATTAAGATTTCAAGTTGGTGGCAGCAGAGCACCAGTGCAGATGCCCAGGTCACAGACCAGAAGTGGTCCCCTGTCTGTCCTGGACCTCAGTTTCTCCATCTGTACAGCAGAGAGGTTGGTTTTGATCATTGAGTTCTCAGTCTTTGTGGGGCTGACACTGGGCCAAGGGCCACTGCAGGTCTCCCTCCTCACTTACTGGGGTCCCCCAGTGTCTGATTCCACAGCATCCCAACTTCTCCATTGTAACACATCCTGTCCTAGTAATCATGGTGTTCACAGTAGCGGCCTCTTTTTTCCCAACTTTACTTTACTTTTGATGATGCCATGAATAGTTTAGTCTGAGTTTTAAATTTTTTTTTGTGGTGCTGGGGCTAGAACCCAGGGCCTGTGCATGCTAGGAATGCCCTCTACCAGTGAGCTACAACCCTAGCCACACTAGCCTTGTAAGAAAAAAAAGAATTGTCAGATTTGGCTCAGTTAAACCCACGCTCACAGGCTGGTGGAGTGGCTCAAGTGGTGGAACACCTGCCTACAAGTGAGAGGTCCTGAGTTCAAATCCAGTACCACCAAATAAGCAAGCAAACAAACAGAAAAACCAAAAACCCCACACTCAGCAAGCTGGCCAGACTTGCCCCATGATCACCCAGCTAGGAAGCAGTTCCAGCTTGGGGCGGCAGGATGTTCTGTTCTTCTCCATTATGCATGGCTTGAGGGAAGGTGAGGGGCCTTTGGAGCCTGCAAATGGGCCCCTCATGGGGGAGGTAGGTTGGGGAGTGGTGTCAGCCCCGCCCCCATGTGCCTCTCTCTGCTCCCCAGGGCACCCTGCACCACGCTGACATGGCTGAGAGCAGCTCACCACCCTCGTCTGCAGCAGCCCCAGCCCTTGAGGCAGGAATCACAGAGCAGCCAGGGCCCAGGAGCCCCACTCCGTCCCCTCCAGGCCTGGAGGAGCCCCTGGATGGAGCTGATCCTGACGTCCCACATCCAGACCTGGCTCCCGTTGCCTTCTTCTGCCTGCGCCAGACCACCAGTCCCCGGAACTGGTGCATCAAGATGGTGTGTAACCCATATCCTTTGGCAGCCTGGGCACGTCCAAGCCAGAGGCCATTGGTGGGTGAAGAAACGCTTCTGATGAGCCCCATCTGCTCATACTGTCCTCTGGCCAGGGAACCAGAGGCTGTGGTGAGGCTGGGTCTCTGTGATGGTGAGTGGGAGCTGGTGGTGGGTCTGGGGAGATGCAAGGGCACAAAGCATGCACCTGAGCTTCTGCTGGGGTGAAGGTTCTGGAAGTTGCTGATGATAGTGGGAGGTCAGTCCAGTGACTGGTTGGCTTAAAACCTCAGCTCTGTGCTGGGCTGGGGATGCAGATTTTAAGTCAGACCCTGACCTGGCTCCCGGTGGCTTTACCACAGTGCCTGGTGACTGCACAGATGATGGAGGGACTTGTGGGTGTGAGCTGGAGACAACCTATCACACTATGTAGGACAGGGCTGCCACACAAGGGAGGTCCCTATGCCTCCTGTGAATCCATCTGAGGCTGCTGTCCCCACCTGCTGCCTCTGGTGTGCTTACATTGCCTGTGTTTGAGACCCATCCACATTTGTCTGTGTTGCTATAACAGAATAGCTGACATTGGGCAATTTATAAAGAAGAGAGAGTTGTTTTTATGGTTCTGGAGACTAGGAAGTTCAAGATCAAGGGCTGGCATCCAGCATCTGGGAGAGCCTTTTGCAGCATCCCTTGACAGCAGTTAGAAGGGAGAGAGTTGAGCGAGCAGGGGAGGGCTGAACTTGCTGTTATAATGACCCGTTCTTATAATAATCCATTCAGGAGGACAGAGCTATAACCAAATCGCCTCTTACAGGTCCCGCCCCTAACACAGTTGCATTGGGGATTAAATTTCCAACTTCTGAACTCTGGGGACATTCAGGATCCTTCATGGTTTCCTGCTGTCCTGGAGGTTCACAGCAAAGCCCTAACCCAGCCCACCAGGCCCTAAGTGCCCCCACCCAGCCTCACTCTCCCACTCCACTTCCAGGTCTTGAGCCTTCTCACAAGCTCATCCCTCTGTCTGCAATGCTTTTCCCTTCCCTCTTCACCTGGCTTTCTGTGGTCCTCCTTGGACTCACTATTTGTTGCCATGTCTACTTGTGGAATTTTTTTTGGGGGGGGTAGTACTGGCATTTGAACTTGGGGCCTTGCACTTGCTAGGGTGATACTTTACCACTTGAGTACCCAGCCCTTTCTGTTCTACTATTTTTTGAATAGGGTCCTATGTTTATGCCGAGGCAAGCTGGCCTGGACTCCTACCTGGACTGGCCTCAAGCCTCAATCCTCCTAGTCTCTGCTTCCCGAGTAGTGAAGATCACAAGACCATGCCCAGCAAGTTGTAGAATTCTTTTTTTTGGTGGGACTGGGGTTTGAACTCAGGGTTTTGTGCTTGCAAAGCAGGCGCTCTACCCCTTGAGCCATGCCTCCAGTCCATTTTGCTCTGGTTATTTTGAATCTCATGAACAGCTTGCCTGGATTGGCCTCGAAATGTGATCCTCCCAATCTCAGCTTCCCGAGTAGCTAGGATTATAGGCATGAGCCACCAGTGCCTGCTAGTTGTGGAATTCTTAATTTAACATTTGCTTCCTCCTGGGGTACTGTCACATGACCAGGAAGAACAGGGACAAGCCTGTCTCATTCCTAGCTTCCCCATCCATACCTGACACATTGTGGGGCTCCTTAGCGGGTTTGCTGGGAGCAGATGGGCAATATGGGGGCTGAGCCTCATGAGCAGTCTGAGGACTGTGAGGAAGGAGGGTGGTCCAAGCGCTGGCCTGAGAAGGGAGGAGCTAGGGGTGTGGCTGGCTGGAGTAGGGGGAGGGCCGAGCTAGCAAGGAGAGCTGACACTTGAAGGCAGAAGGAGGCCTCACAGGGTCTGTGTTACACTCTGCTGTGTGTTAGACTCTGCTGGCTCTAAAGCAGGGGATGAGGAGACCTGAGCTGCAGTGTGGGGCTGCGTCACAAGGGGGAGCCGGTGGCTTGGGACCCTGGTCATGGTCTTGGGGGCCACTGAGCAAAGACCCCTTCCAAGGCCCAAGATGATGGTGCTGGAGGTCATCCAGGGCTGGTGAGTTAGGCTGCAGCGCTGGGCGCCCACTCTGGGTGCCAGGGACTCCCAGAAGGCAGGCAGGGGTGGCAGGGTTGGCCCCAGAAAGGTGGGGGAAGCAGCTGTGCCTGAGTCCAGGTCTGCTGGCCTCCTCCAAAGGGAGGTGATGTTGGGCAATGGATCTTCTCAACTCCTTGAAACCACAGGGACTCCCCCTGGAGCAGACAGAATGCAGAACTGGGGTCCTTAACTGGGGCTTAGGGGCAGACAGAGACCTCCACACCCCTCCCCTCCCTCTGTGACATGGCTCTGAGGTCTCACACACCATGAGAGGGTCTGCTCAGTAATTTGCTTCACCAACACTCTGATGCTTTCGCGTGGGACACAGGACAGAGAAGCTGTCCCACGGAGCTCCTGGTAGAGGGGACACAGGCACTGTCCACATGGGTAGCTTTTGCACAAAGTATTGGGGACAATTTCAGGGCTGGTAGGGCAGGAGGTGGCCCTCTGGGCCTTCAAGAAAGAGAAAGGCCATGGAGACAGTAGAACGATGTCACAGGCCATCCCAGACAAAGTTGGATACTGGCTCTGCTGCGTGGGTGCTTTGAGTAAGTCACTCACTTCTCTCTGAGCTTGGAGTGGTAATAATCAACACTGCCCTGGGCTGCGGACGACCTTGGCGTCAAGTCTGACTCTGATGGGCTCTGGCGGGTCCGACTGGGCTGAAGCAGCACAAATCTGGCCCAGGCGTCATGGAGAGGTCCCTGCATGGGAAGTTGTTTTGAGTCCTGTCTACTGTGTATGACCTTGGGTCTGTTTCCATGTGAGATGCACTCTTCCTGCTCTGGGAGCCTGGTGGCCAGCCATGGCTGCCACAGGAGTGGTGCCTTGCCTTTGAGCTCAGGTACCTGGACTTGACCACTGAGAAAGCCCCAGCTGTCTACATTTCTGCCTTGCTGGCCACTCTGTCCTTTGTCATTGCCAGTCCTGTCACTCTCACCCTCAGTGGCCTGGGGTTGGGGACAGCCATAGGGCTGGACCAGGCCAGGGGAGAAAGGGTCCTGGCAGAGCTGGACTTGGCCCTTCTCTGACTTAAGGACAGTCCTGGGCTGAGAGATGGGGCTGAATTCAGCCTGGCCTCGCTCCTTCCTCCTTTGGAGGGACTTCTGGACCCGGGCAGCTGTCAGAGGGAGGAGCCCCCACAGTCCTGAGGCCAGGTGAGCCAGGCTGAGGTGGGGGATGGAGGTAATGCAGGTGTCATCCAGAATTCTGTGGGAATTCCAAAGCCATAACCGCTTCAAAGGAGCACAGCACTGGGACACTCTGACTCGAAACTTCTATGATAAGTATAAAAGGTCACAGTTAGTATTTTAGGCTGGGTAACACTAAAATTCTAACCTTCTGTGATCCAAAGAAAAATTCAGTGTGAACGTAAAATGTGGTGGCCACCGTGCTGTGTCTGGAGTTAGACCTGTGATCCTGGGCCACGTGACTGCAGAGTGTCTCATGGCTGAATTGGGGCAGGCAGGAGCGAGGTGAGGGGGAACTTGGAGACATTGGGATCCACAGGAGACCCCCACAGTGTAGACTATGGGGCGTGTGGAGGGGAGCACAGAGGCATCAAGGGCTTGGAGACCATCTGTGGGTGAGGGTGACTTTGATCAGGCACTGGGGCCCAGGGTTCTTTCCTGGCCAGAAACCGCTGTCCCTGCCATCTTCAGGGAAGGGCGCTGACCTGGGGCTCCTCAGAGAGGACGTGGGGAGGGGGCAGTGCCTGACCTGGGACTCCACAGTGGAGCCATATGGCTTTTTGGTGTGGCAGTGTTTTATGGTCCCATCGTCTTGCATATTACAGGCCATCCCTGGCACTGGCTACCATAGTGTCCCTCAATCACTGTGACCACCATAAATGACCCTGCAAGAGGGTGGCTCTGTTCCTCATGGAGAATGGAGTCCACAGGACTGATGGGCTGTCATGTCCAGCTCAGGCGAGTGGAAGCCGCTCCTTGACTCACCAGGCCTCGGTGGGCAGGGCAGGGTGAGGTCTGTCCTGACAGCCTGTCCCTGCTGTCCTTTGAAATGAGCTTGGCTCCTGACTCAGCTTCTCGCCCAGCCCAGAGGAAGATCCTGAGTCACTGTCTGAGTCATGGAGAGTGGCCGGGTTGTGGGGACCCTTGTGAGCCTGTAAGCTGGGCAGAAAGACTGCTCACCCAAATGTCAGCACCGCCCCTTTCTGGCCTGGGCCTTGGGTGCCACTGTTGCTGGGCTTTCAGCAGGGAGGCCTCTGGTCTGCAATACCAGGGGACAGGCTGTGCTGTGTGACTCACGGGAGGTGGTGTATGGCTTGTGGAAAGTTCTGGCCACCTAAGTCAGGCAAATCCAGGGACCTTTTCTACCTCTTCTTGCTCTATGACCACGGGTGGTTTCTTGGCCCTTCTAAGCCCCACGTCTTCCCGTTGGATGGGGGTGATAGCAGCCACCTTGCAGGCCTGCACGGAAGACCCGAGAGCTCATCAGGCAGATGGATGATGGGGTTTGTAGAGAAGCACTGTGCATGTGGCTGTCACTCCATTGTGAGGGCCTGAGGGGCGAGCAGGGCTCTCACGGCCGCTGAGTAAACGCTCTGCTTGTGGTAGATTAAATAAGACTTTGGCGACAGGTCTTAGATGGAATATAACACCTTCCGAGGACATTGTTCCCAAGGAAAATCAGATTCAATCTCTGCTGTTTAGGTGAATTGGTGTGAGTTTTTCTGCTCCTGGCCAAGCCCTGGTTGGTGCAGATTTTGCCAGTCAATCATGCATCTTCCAGCCGGGAGGCCCGGGCAGCCATGACTGATCAGTTGGAAACCCACCTTCCACCCTAGATTAGACTTTCAGAGCTTTCTTAGGAGGAGCGCAACTGGCTGCGTGTGCTCACTTTCATTTTCCCTTTAGGAGTCTCAGGTCTCTAATCTCTATAATGGGGCCA